TACAACAATACATATATTTTCGTTGTCCTCTCATTACTAAGAGAAAAAACAAGAACAACATCTATTCTATACCTGAAGATGTCTGTAGGAACAGACGAAAGATTGTAGTAAAAATAAGAACTAATACGGCAGAAATTTATATAAACAAGGATCATTTCATTCATAACGGATACGGAGGTTTTTGTATATTATTTGAATTGTTTGCGATGATGGATGTCTCGCCATTTACATCATTAACCTTTGCATTAGTTTTTTGTGAATAATTCATGTATATATATATATATATATATATATATATATATATATATATATATACAACACAGTTCAAAAGTTTAACGTCATCCCCTTAAATTGCATGGGATAAATCAACTTGACAGAAGAGTGAAACCTTTCCATCCCCAAAAATAAAAAATAAAAAAAGTTGTTAACGTCATTGGAAAAAAAAAATGTAATCAACTATCAAACTTATACTTTAAGAAACTTTTGCAACGAATGCCTAAAATTTGTGCTGCAGTAATCAAGGCTAAAGGAGGATATTTTGACGAGAGCAAACTTTAATCATAACATATTTTTTTCTTTTTGTCATAATAAAATTTCTATTAAAGATTTATATCTTTTTTTTGACCATGGATAATAATTTTCTGTTATTTAATGTACAAACCAACTACTTTGGGAGCCAATTTAAAAAATTACCAATTGTTCCTCAAACTTTTGAACTGTAGTGTATATATATATATATATATATATATATATATATATATATATATATATATATATAGTAATGGGTGCTTCTGAAATATTTTCTATTTAATCATGTATATTTTAAGACACTGACTTCTTTATATCAAAATCTCTTCTCTTGCAATTTCCTGGTGTTACCATTGAATTTTTTTTTTTTTTATGTTTTTTATCTAAAATTTAATTTGGCAAAATGAGACAATAATCAACCATTAGAAATACCGATCCGATCTTTTCTTGCGCTTTTTCAAAATATCAAGAACGCATTAATAAAACCGTGAAAGTCTAAAATATATATATATATATATATATATATATATATATATATATATATATATATATATATAAATATATATACATATATATATATATATATATATATATACATATATATATATATATATATATATATATATATATATATATATATATATTATTATTATTATTACTTTTCTGGTTCATGATAAATGTTATCGGAGAGGCTTGTTCGTATTTCCAGTCGAATCCATTACATTCACTTACGTGCTAATACCCTTTGGAAAGATATGAATCCACTTCTTCTCCCACCTGCTATGGGTAAATAGCATGACACACCGTGTTCTATAGACTTGGATGGCAACTTCTCTACAGCAGAAAGAAATGACAAGCTAATTCTTGCATAAATCTGCCTCGTCAGTCTTGTATTGAAAGATACATGATCGCCTAAGCTTTTATCACTCATGGCACATAACTGAGTAATACCTGTTTCTCGAAAATGACGAGCGGGCTCAGAAAATTACTTTCTTTTGGCATTTATTATTATTACCTTTTTTACAATAATGCTAATCCTCTACTATGAGTGGCTCTTTAGCCATATAAAAGGCGATCTTTATTATTATTATTATTATTATTATTATTATTATTATACAAAAAGATGTTCTTGAGTCATTTCACATTTCTTTTTTAATTCTTTCTTTGTACAAATTCTTATTGTCCAAATCCTAAAGTGTTGCCTGGTTCTTTTTATTTTAATTGCATTAACCACTGTTTTACAGCGGTTAGCTCTTTATTCTTATTTATGAAGTGGTCAAAATTACTACGAAATAGTGATCTGCAGAAGTGGAATGCCCTGAATAAGAGCTTAATCTAACTGCAAAAGGTACTAAACTGTCAGCTCTAACGGAAATACAATCATTTCTTCCAGCTTACGGAGCTTGTCAAAAATATA